CAGCTACACTGATCCAGGTATAATCATCAGGATTGTTAATAATTATTATTATTTTTCTCTGTGCTGACAAAAAAGCAGAAATTCAAACAAACTCCCCCGAAGTTCTCATTCATCATTTGGACACACAAAAAAATAAAAGGAAGAATTTTCTGAACAAGTTTAGAGATTCTCCCAAAACAATTGGAGCTCATGTTTTGCCATTTACAATTTCCCTCGCAGTAATTAACCTTTTCGGCACACGWCTGGAGCTTAATGGAACAGGACAAAGTGAGCCAGACGTTGATAAACCAGTAACAACGGCTGGATGGCTGTTGTGGTTACTAGTGCATGCACAATACACAAATCAAACTTAGACGTATGTAGTAGATTAGAACAGCTTAAATATTTCAAAATCTCAGAAATTCTCCCTGAAATTTTCACCTGCATGTAGATGAGAGGAAAGCTCAGCAGGAAACAAGTGTTTTGCTAAATATCCGTGTAAATGTTGGAAGACCCTCAGCTGCCTCCTGTCCCTCTGCTCACCTCTGTTTGCCCTGAGAGTCCTGATTGGCTGAACACTTTCCGCACTATCGTCTGGCTGCTTGCCAGCCATGCTGCCGGTGGCTGCTATGCCCCCTGATCAGGAGAGAATGTGACATTTGTGCAGAGGTAATGGAATCTGCGTGCAATTAAATCTCTGACTGTGAAGAAGAGTCTGTCTCCTCCCTGCTCCCTCCATCTCCTGCCATTCCCAGCAGCAGGGGGGGTCAGGCACGATGATGAAACTGCCCCAGCAGGATCCCAGCTTCACTCTGTTTCCCAATCTCCATGTCAGGTTGTGTTTTTTTAACTTTGTTGCTCTTGCCCTGCCCCTGCCTGGTTATTAATTACAGAAAAAGTCTATTAGAGAAGTCTCAAACTGCTCTATAGGATTTACAGGTTTTACTGGATCAACGATACACTGCTGCGGTTGTTCTAGTTGTGAAGGTTGTCGAATCAAACAGGAGGGGACTGAGGAGAAGCAGAATCATGCACGGATGAGAAAAGGGTCAGAGCCCTCAGCTCTGTTTTCTCTGCTGCCCAGCTACTACACTCAACGCCTCGTTTGTGGACGTTGTGGCCAGTGGCTGGAGTCTGGGATCAGTTGCCATRAAAGGCAGCTTTTTCCTCTCTGCTGATGGGGCACTCTCTTGTGGTTTAATACCAGACCTTTTGTACTGGCAGTCTCATATCTAATGGATATGCATATCCCCTTCAGGAGTGCTCATAAACAGAAACAACTCTCCTCAGCTGCCATTGTATTTGTTGGGGCTGGCTGAGAGGGACAGGGACATGCCATGCAAGCATTTCCCTTGAACTTGTGTAGGAGTAGTTCCTATCTGTGTTCCTTCTCCACACCGAGTGGACGGAGGTGCAGGATATCCAGGTCAAGGTTTGTCTAAATCCTCCCTTTTTACTCACGCCCTGTGTTGGTTTGTCTGAAAGACACARTTTCAGTTCCTTTCTCCTGATCTGCCACTGGACAGAATATTGAGTTGTCGAACCATGAAAATGGTTTATTCATCTTTCACAATCAGCTTTAAAATGTCAAACTTAGCTAAACAGAGCTGGGTTTTTGTCACATTTAACTTTCAGCTTTCCTGTTACATTTTTTTCTTTTTTCTTTTTGATAAATTAAAACTGTCAGAAATGGGTGAAGGGAGTGTTGTTTCAGAAAATATGAAGGTCACTCTCTTTCTCCTTTTTTCTGCAGCCAAGTGTTATTTTGAACCAACAATCAAATGAGCCTCCATGTTTTCTGCTGGGCTGTGGGTTGTAATAAAAAAAAACTACTTTTTTAAAATTCACTAACATCCTGCTAAACAAATACAGCGCCGTGCTTCTGTTCGAGATGGCTTTTTTGTGTTTTGTGATAAAAAGAACAAGGCTTTGCTTGAGGAAAGAGAAAAAGAGGCTTACTCCATTAGTGTCATTTGAATGGGAAATTAGATCAGGCTGACAGATAGATGTGGAAAATTGTTTTAATTGTATAATTATCTCTGGTTAGCCACTTGTGCGGAAAAGTGCTGTGATGTGGTTGAAGGCCAGGGAAGAGCACATTTTGGCCTTTTTGTGCTTATTTTGTCTTTGCACAGGAAATGAACAACAATCGGGGGTCCTGAGGATAAAACATAAACACACCCAATTGCGCAGACACTCACTCCCCCTGGGCAGGCTCGGGCGTGCTTTGTGAGATGTTGGCCTTTAAAGTAATGTGTTTAGCCACTGAGTCTCCTCCTCAGGCAGAGAGTAGAAGCTTGTAACTGTCTGATTAAGATGATACAGCTCAACACAAATGTAA